TAGAATTGCATGGAGTATTTATGTCGATAGAGTCATCAAAACTCATTCTTCACATCTAATTTCTAGTGCAGTCTTTAGAAAAATTGGGTCATGCACTTGAATTTTAACCCTTAACAATGATCTCCACCAGCAAACAAATCGAAACAAACTGAATGTCTAAGTCAATTGTTAGAAGACATTTTATGTATCAACGTGTTAAATTTATCAAGCAGTTGAGGCTTGAAGACGTAAATCGTTAAACTGGTGATAGAATTACGAAAAGAAGACTGGAAATAATAAAAATTTTCATTTTAATATATTAAAACATCGATCACTAACCAAATCATCATTAGGTGAACTTATTGACCTTCAAACACAAATGGAAAAAACAAGAAGAAAAACAAAGAAGCGAGCTACAATTGTAATTATTTTAAGACATTAACCAATATTGAATGATTATTGAAGCAACAAAGATGGTAAATTAGCACTGGAATCCATTGGGAACTTTCTTGCCGCAGGCATTGAGAAGCAAGCTGAGGGAGATGGGGATGTTGAGGTCCTTTCCTAACACATTGGCTTTAAGGGCAGTGCAAAGACACACGGCAGCTTCAAGATCAACTAGGCCATTGATCAGACTGCAGCAGGGAGTCACCGGTGGCTTGCCGATGGTTGCATCGACCAGACCTCCGAGCAATTTGGCACAAACTCCTAGCTTAAGAGTGTCTTTAGGGCATTTTCCATTCTCAGGGGAAGGTGTGGGGTTAGGGTAGCAGTCACCGCAGGCGGAGACGAGGGAGAAGGAGAGGAGATTGAGAGCAAGGAGGAAGGCGAGGGAGGCAGTAGCTTTGGAAGCCATTGTTTTGAACTCAATGGAAACCAAAAGTAAGGTAATTGTGAGGTGAGAGGTTGGTGGGGGAGAGTTGGAGATGGGTTAGGGTTTTTATAGGGCGTATGGAAGCTGAATGATAAATAAAAAATAAATAATGATATCTCCATCCTTCATGTGTGATGTGCATTTTAGCTGGCAGACTTAATTTTGGACACTTCCTGAGATGGGGACCCATCATTTTCATTTTCTTCTTTCGTTGATCTTTGGGAACATAACTAACTTGAAAGGTTGACTTCATCCAGATTTTTCGTGATATGGAATAAAATAAACTTTAAATGGTATGATTTTGAAATAGATCTCTATCGATTACTATCAACAAATGTTTACTACATTATGATGTGTGGCCTGCCTCTATTGGAGAAACGATATTTAAATTTTACACGATGTGATAGACAAATAGGTTGAAAAATATGGAAAACAATTAAACATATAATATGATTAGTTTTGCAAGGAAAATAGAGATGCTTCACATGTCGTACTATAATATGAATATATAGAGATTGTTAGAATGATATTTTCTGTTGTTATTGTATAATACTTCATATGCACAACACTCCCATATACATAGTTGTTTTCAATGACAAATATAAATTAATACTTTGCCACCTAGCTCTCACATTCCATTCAAGATTCCAAATGATAAGATAATATATGAAAATTACAAAAATTAATCAAATTAATTAATTTATATTAGAATTGTACATAATTGTGTGACACTCGAGTAAAGAATGAATACATAAGTGAACTAGAATCACATTTAAATAAAAGTGATCTTTAAACCTACGATGACTAAGAAAGACTTAAAAAGTTTAAAAATTACTTATATATTAATATGGTTAAGAAAGACTTAAAAAGTTTTAAAGTTACTTATATATTAATATGGTGCATATTTCTTTTAGATGATTCAGTCATGGGATATACAAAATTAAGCATGTTTTTCTTAGAGTAATTTTATGTTGTGTTATTTTTTATAAATTTTTTGTTTAAAATATGTGTGAGGATAAAACATGGTGAAAGAATCCCATTTTGGCTTGTGTGATCCAAAGTAAGTAACCAAGCCGGTGAAAGGCTCCCAAGAGAGTAAAAATGGTAGGAAAAGATCCAAAGATTAAAAATTGTAGGAAAGGATCCAAAGATGTCAAAGGGGCTCAAAATTGACAAACCGAGCCAAATGCACCGATCAGAGCTGCTAGAGCGCATCAAGTTGAGCCATCCACTGCTCGGTCACGGGTCGATCATGCAGGTTAGAGTGGCTTGCCAGTTGGCACGGATCTAGGAGTTGGGAAATGGGTCGTTGCTTTAGTTTATTTAAATTCATGTGATGTGTTTTTCCGCTATGTTGTTGATAACAATATTATTTTAAATGAATTAGTATGAACGTTTAAGTCTATGGCATCGTTAAGAAATGTTTTTACTAACTTTTCTGCAAATATTAGGTATGTCATGCATGCAGTGGCTTCTCCATTTTATTATTATACTCCATTTTATTATAAAAAATAAGGTCGCAAAAGTTAGTATCAAAGCTCTAGGCTTATAGATTTTGTAAATTACCCTACAATGTAGGCTCAGAATGCTTCCATGGTCTTGCAGCTATGCTTTGTCACCATCCGATATGTCTTATGAAAGATAGTAAATAATGTACCTATGTTGATTACTATGCTTGAAATGTGAGTACTACGTAATGTATTGATGATTTAGAACATGTTTAGATTTAGTATGGTTTTTATTGTAATTGTAAGGATATATAGTCTCACTTTAGGATGTTAATAAGCTATTAAACACTAGTATATGCATTAAAATGATTTTGCTAAGGAATGTTAGAATGTTTTAGTCAGATGTCTAGAACTTAGAAAAACAATATAGTGTTGCGACTAGAGACATGAAAAAGGGTGTACCCACGTGTAGTTATAAATTGTTTCAAATGAAACGACCAAGAAGGCTTGGTAGATAATTAGAACTTATCGACTACTATAGATATCGAGAATGGTAGTGTCGAAGAAACATTATATCGCCACGAAGTATGTAACTATGAAATCACGGTGTTGTTAGGAACACGGGGAAAAAGTGATTTGGGCTTGTCGAAGGAAAATTTTACCAGCTAATGGGATGAAGGAATCTCCCCGGCTGATTCTAATTGTGAGTTCAAAGCCGAGTCAATTTAAGGTGTGAAATTTACGAGATGGTTAAAGAACTATGGAAAAATTAAGACAAGAACGGAAAGTCAAAACCTAAGCCAGACAATTTGGTGAGAATATAAGTGAATTTAAAATAACTCACTAAAACAGACTACCCTACTCATGAAATGTTAATAGAAGGCTTAATATACATGGTAGGATTATGCATGAAATTTATGGTTATTATATTATGGTGAGGGGCTAAACCAATAATAGGTGTAAAATGACCAAAATTTCTCTATAGTTAGCACCACTAGTTTTTAACTCGAGTGATCTCTATATAGCAGAAAACTTTTAGAAGTTTTATTTCATGGTTTAAATGGATTAGGCAAGGTTTAAGGTTATTAGAATAGGTTAAGAACTCAAACCAAGATCTGAGGTGGTAAATGATCAAAATACTCCTGTAAGAATTCTGAGATGTTTCAACGACTTAAAAAAACTTCAAATGTTATGAAACTTTATATGAGACTTATTTATGAGCTCAAGGGTAATCATGTGAGACCTCACGAGAGGATTAGAACATGTTTGGGGCACCAACCATGAGGAAAAAGATGGAATTACCCAAAGACTCTATATAAGAAAACAAGGTTTGCATGAATGCTAGGTGACAAGATGCTTATGAAATATAGATGTTTATGAAAAAATTATATAGGCTATAGAATTGTTTACGACTCATATGGATTAGAATTGACATGTTAAGAATCTTGCCTTGGTTGTGCCTCAAGACTCATCAAAGAACTCTTAGAGTTAGAACTCAAGATACCCTAAATACCTTCGTATATGCAATGCAACATGGTCTTATGACACAGACTACATTACAAGGAATGCATGAATTCTTGGGCGTAGATATTCAGACGATGTCGTAGGGAGCATATGAAGTTTTAGATGCAGGTATTATTTTCTATCGTAGGAAACGCATAAAACCTAGGGCATAGGTTAAAATTGAGTTGTTCAATGACCATAAGACCCCATAAATCTCCTAGGAAGAGTGTTTGGGGGACAATAACCTTCGAATCAAGGTTCTTGGTACAAAAAAAAAAAAAAAAAAAAAAAAAAAAAAAAAAAAAAAAAAAAAA